CGTTAATTGCTAATTTAACCAAAGCACAAAATGTTCCTATCCTTGTCCCACTTATTAAATTATGTCTCATTATTAAGCTCGAATTTATTTATTATTTTTTTTATACATTCGTTTTGTTAAATAACAAATTAACCTCATCCTCCTCCTCCTCCTCCTCCTCCTCCCCCCTCAATCAATCATCAAACAAAAAAATTTTTTATTTGGGGTTAAAATTTTTTAAACAAAAAAAAAAAAAAAATACCGTAAGAGGATGATCGAGGGAAAAAAAAATTTATATTTATTATTATTATTATTATTTTTTTTTTGGAATGACCCGCTCATTAAATCATCATCATCATCATCATCATCATTATCCACCTTAAAAATAAGACCTGAAAAGTTCTTATTTAATTTGATTGCCTTGAAGACTAGCTAACAATTACCGAAATGGAAGCGTGTCATACAAATATCCGGGACATCAAACACATGTAAAAACATCCGGAATCTGGGGGAATCCGCAGCAGGATACTCTACTACCTACTACTACTACTACTACTACTACTGCTACTACTACTACTACTGGGACTACTACCATACTCACAACTCCCCTATGTATCCACCCACCCACCCATTGAAAAATAGGAAGTGAAAGGAATCTAATGAAGAAACAATAAATATTTATTTAATAAATGTTTGTTCGTTTGTTTGTTTTTTTCAATCGTTTAAAATTAGTTCAATCCGTATATCGATAATAAAAAATTTTTAAATCTAAAAGAGGGAATATAATAATAATAAATTATAAGACGTTCGAAATGTATATATATATATTTTAAAGAGAACGGCATGACATGTTAAAATGCAAAAGCATACGCACTCACCACACGCATTGACACGCACACGCACACGCATAATAGACATTTGAAAACAAAAAAAAAATAAAATTTCATAACCAACGTAGTGATAAATGAGTAAGTTGTTCGATAACACCAGTTGATTATAACAACCTGGTGGAAGTTATTGAACCCATAAGTGACAGGGAAACTGGATGACCTCTTAGCATCCCAGCCACCAGCCCCGGTTTGTTTAATTTAGGAGGTTGCATAACCAATCTCTAACTTGACATCTCTCAAATTTTGTAAAAAAAAAAAAAATCGGCTAACTTGTTTTTTTTTATGTATATCGTTATTCGATATAATCGATTTTTACGATTATATCGAAATTTCATTCAACAACACAAACAAATGTGACAAATGTTCATTTTTTTTTCAATTAATAAAAAAATATACCAATCAATGTACTAATAAAAAAATATTATTCTCAATGTTTAAATTTGAGAAAAAAAAAAAGGCGCGAAACATATATAAATAATAATAATAATAATACTTTTAAAAATTTAAATTTTGCAGAAAGCGAAAGTATTTTTTGAATTAATGTTCGAATAAGTTTATGCAAAAATACGTGTGTGACGTGCGTAATAAAAGAGTGCGTTTACGTCTGCGTTTGCGTTTGCGTTTGTTTTATATTTTTTTCCTTATTGGTGCATTAAAAAAATTTTTTTTTTTTTTTTATGAGTAAAATTAAACCGAAATCGTGCAGACAAATGAATTTTTGCTTTTTTTTTTGTTTACAGTCCCCCCGGAATTAAATTTCAAAAAAAAAAAAATATTTAAGAAAAATTTAAAACTCAGCCGGATGTGAGAGGAATGATGGTATTTGCAAAATAACCGAAAAAAAAAATTAAAAAATTAAAATAAACTCGCGAATCGAATCGAGAATAAAATAAAATAAATAAATAAATAACAAGTCTTTGACTAAAATTAGTAGCAAACCGGTTATGAAAATGGTGGGTTATTAAAATGGGACGAACAAAGATCGTTAATTAATAAATAATTATTATTATTATTATTTTTTTTTTTCACTCTCACGTAATACGGTATATTTTGCATAGTGTGATAAAGGTGAATGCCCGTTATCGCAAAAAAAAAAAAAAAAAAAAAAAAAAACAAATTTAACAGGTTTTTTTACATTGTCATTGATTTGCAATATTATTATCACTTTATTTTCATATATATATATAAAAGATTTAATGAGATACTAAAACAAGTCTGATTGCTCCAAGGGATAAATTCGGTTTTTTTTTTTTTTCTTTTTCTTTTTCTTTCTTTTTCTTTTTTTTTTTTTTTTCTTAATTTGTTTTTTCCCATTCACTTTTTTTTTTTCCCCCCGTTTCATTAAGTAGACGAGATTTGTTTTTGTTTTTTTTTTTTTTTTTTGATTTTAAAAATAATTTTTTCGAAAGCTAAAATTTTAAATATCTGTCACTAGGTCAATTCATTGGGATTTTCCTATTTTTTATATATATTTGAGATGACGTGAGAATTTTTTTGGATGCTGCAAAGGGTTTCTAAGTGTCATCATCATTCTTATCGATTAGGTTCAAAACAAAAAAAAAAAAAAAAAAAGAAATTAGTAAAAGCGTAAAAGTATTTATGTTAAAAACATATCGAGAAAAATATTGAATTTCGTATTAAACGAAAGACTAATTTAATTTGTAAACAATAATTTCGTAAGTGTTTATTTTACTTATTTATTTATTGTATTTTATATAATAACGTAATAATTTGAAGACTACTTATTTATTTATTCAAAAACTCTCAATAAATGTTTATGAAAAATTATTAATGAATCACATGCATAAGTAATTAAAATGAATAACAATTTTTTTTTTTTAAATTAAGATGGCGTAATAAATACTTGAGAAATTTAATTTAAAGTAATAATAATTCGATTAATAATAATATTAATTTTTTTTTTGAATAAAATTCTATTAGTTGAGTAAAAAAAAAGTTTATTAACTTTTTGGAGGGAAAAAATGCAAACAGTTTTCATAATTTAAAATTTCTTGTCACTATATAGAACTCTATCGGAATTATTTTGAACTAAAAAACTCACGCGGTCAATATCCGAACTAATTTCAACATGGAGGACAATTAGATTATAATTCAGTAAGGCTATTAATAATTCATGTATAAATTTTTAATAATTTACATAATATACATTATGTAAAAATAAATAAATGTTACTTTTATGAATTTTTTTTTTTTTTTTTTTTAAATATTTATTAGCAGTTATTAAACATAAATAGGTAGTTGAACTTTTTATATTTTTTATTTTTTAATATTATTTAATTAATTTATTTTTAGAAATTGAATAAAATTTGGTTAAAAAAAAAATATGTTCATGAATAATTAATTAAAATGATTATTATGATATTTATAAATTGATGAAATAAAAATAAAAAAAGTAAATTTTATTTTTAGTTAATTATAATCATTTAAATAATTTGAATTTATTTAATTGAAAGAATTAGTATGATTTATTAAATCAATTTCATTTTACTAACATATGACTTTTAATTGAAAATTTTTTCTTAGTAGAAGAGCACTTAAATTATAAAAATGTTTCGATTAAAAGTAACTATTAAATTTCATTATATTCAAATTTAATTATCATAATTGCACAAATATATATATAAAACTAATCAAAAAATTAAAATGGTATAAAATATTTAATCGTTTTTACTACTGCTCTCATTCGTTTATTGTTTTAAAATTCTCGATTTAATTTTTAATGTTCATAATTATATAATTACATACATTTTTAAAATCATTTCGAACATTTTGATTTTCTTGATGTTTATACAAATACAAATTTTACACACACATTGCAGTAATATTGATATATTTGTAAATGCAAATAAAATAAGAAAACGAAATTGAATTAAAATATTTTCAATATTATTTACAAACTATGTACATAAAATTAATAACATTTACAGTGTTAAATTTTATAACCTATTAATGTTAAAAATATTTTTTATTAACAATGATATTTCATTTAAAACATTGAATTACAATTATATTAAGTTATAAACAATTAGTTTTAAGGTATTTAATTGTACAATTTATATTAATATGAAATGATATAAAAAGAACTTACCAGTTCTATTTTATATTTTAATTTTAATACAATAAACAATCAATTTTTTTTTACTAATGTTACAGGTTAAGCTTAACAACAATGGCGGGAAAAACCTTAAAATTACTTTTACCACGTTTATTATTATTATTATTGTTCGATAAAGGATAGAAAAAAATGCTCGAGGTAAATTGTTAAATTTTTTTTATTTTTTAAATTGAATAAAGTGTGAATTGATTAAATTTTTATTAAAACATGACAATATAATGTTACATATAATCAAATTTCAGGTTTTTCGTATGAGATTATTAGAAAGTGGAAGCAGAAGGAAAAAAAATGAAGGGAAACCGGAAACGTTGATTGTAAGTCTCACACTCATTTAATCATTTAATAATAATAATTATAAATTTCTTTAAGGATTTGGCTCACAATAACGTATGTTTTTTTTTTTTTTATTACTAAAAACTAATGAAAATTTATAAAATTTTTAATAATATCAAATAATATCTTTAATTTACGATTTAATACTTAAATATAAATAAAATGTTTTGGCGTTTTATGCATTTTTAAAAAGGGGGAAAAAAAAAAATTCAATTTAAATTTTTTTATCGTTTATATATACATATATATATATACTATTAAATACTACATATTTGTATAAAAAATTTCACTGTGAGAAAATTTAAAAAAAAAAAATTATTACAAAAATAATAATAATAGTAATAATAATAATAATAGATATATCAAAAGGCACAAAACTTTTTTTTTTTTTTAAATTTTACTGCTCAACATATATATGTGTATATATATATGTGTGTGTGTATATAAGAATTTTTTAAATTTTTATTACCTTATCACCTAAAAATAAGAATATATTTAAAGCTTAAAATTATACTTTTTCATTTAATAATAATAATAATAATAATAATAATTGGCTATCAGGGATTTTTTTTTAGTTTTTAGTTTTGTTTTTTATGTTATGTATATGTTTATGTTTTATTTTTCACTTTTAGAATATGTTGATTTTAGGTAGTCGATTCAATTTATGATAATTCATATGGTTCATTAAAAGGTCCAAAAAACGGTACTTCCAACCATTGGGTACTTTCTAACATTCTATATATGCTCAGTGATATAACTGGAAAGGCAGTAAAAAAAAAGTTCTTTAAATCACAGTAATAAGGAATAAAATTGGTTACTTCCGGTGGTATTTGATCTGTAACCGCATTGACTGTTTTCATAAATATTTCTCTCACAGCCAATTTTTCTCCTTCGTACGTGGTGGTGGTATTCCTATTTGATATGAGTTCTTGAAATCGTCTTCTGTCTTCCATGCACAATCGAAGAAAATTAAGTAATCCCGTTAATTTCGGACTTAAATTTTTAACAGATTCCTTACAGTTTGGAAAATAAGATAATATTAGAGTTTTCTATAAATTGAAGAGAGAGAGAGAGAAAAAAAAAAAAAGTATATCGGTGAAAATAATAATTAATAACGAAGGGTTTTCTTACAGCATATTAATTAATATACCCAATCTCCTTGTATGTTATTTTCTTTTGCTTTTATATCGAGATACGTGTGAAGCTGAGAAATTTCATGTATCGTCGCTCCGGATTCTGGATACGCTCCGGCACAAGTTAATAAAAATTTCCATCTTTTGTCGAGACTCCAAAAATATATATGACTATGGTAGTTTAATATATAAATTTTAAATGAGTGTGCGTGTGTGCGTGCGTGCGCTATGCACCCATGCGAATGCATAGTAAAAGTTTATGAGCCACAGAAAAAAAAAGCTTGATGAACTCACCGGACGATAGCTGGAATGGTCGGACGATTTTCTGGTAAAAAAACTAACATCCAACTGATGAGGTCTTCTGCATCGTTATCAGGTGTTATCAAATTCCATTTTCCCAATATTAAATTGTCAACTATTTCTTTAACTTGTTGTCCGAATGGATGTTGACCTCCGCTTAAAATAAAATGAGTTAACATTCCTGCGGTTGCCACGTCTGCTGCCAATGTGCTCCTCAATTTATTTACTTTTATATACGACGTGATAATTTCTCCAGGCCACCATATCATCGAACATGGTGGCGCGGGTTTTTTTAAATAAAGAGCCTGGAACAATTTGAAATTGTTATGAAAAGTTTTAGCGGGAGTGTGTTGTTATAAGTTAAAAATTTTCAGGAAGATATCATACCACTGAAATTCCAAATTCTGCCAATTTAACGATTCCACTCGAATCAATTAAAACATTTGAAGGTTTTAAATTACCGTGAATGATTGGTGGTTTTTGTGTGTGTAAATAATGGAGTCCAGCCACTACCTAAAAATATCAATAAACGATTACATAACATTTTTCCACACACCCAAAAAAAATAAAAATTTTTTTTTTCTTTTTGATACCTGTTTAATAATATCAAATGATTTAGATTCTAAAATGCAATTATTTTTCAGGTGAAGAATATATTGTCCTAAATTGAAATCCATCAATGGAGTTGCTATTATGGGTTCAAAACCTTCGGACATGTAATAAGGTAAAATATATTTATTATTAATTTTTTTAAGTCTTATCATTATGTTTGACAATATGTCGACGGATGTTGGAAAAGATTTTTTAACGTGTTTCACAGCCATGGGATTTCCCTTGTGATCCAAACCCATTTCGACGGATCCGAAATAACCCGTTTCACCGTAGGGTAGTAAAATTTTACCACTTTTCAACGGGTTCGGAAGTAATATTTCACCATATTGTACGTGACTGTTTTTAATCATTTTTTTCAAATTGCTTATTTCGTTGACCCAACAAAAAAATCTGTTGTTTGGATTTCTCGCCGACGACGACGACGACGACGTTGACGAGGATTCGTTTCCTTCTCTCACCGTTTTAAATAATTTTTGCAAAGGATTATCGCTTGTTTTATTCCAAAGATTATACTGATCTTTTTTATCATCGTTATCGTTTCGCGGAGTCGGAATGCTTTGAGAGCTTTTGGTTTTACTCCCTATGCTTACTATTTCTGAATAAGAATCGGATTTGTAACCCTTGTTAAAAAATATCGTGTTAAGCTCTAATCCATTACCGCTTGAACCTTGACTCAAATCTAGCGGAAATTCTCTACTCGTGTCAACAACGTCTAAAAGTTTCGATTGACTCGATGTTTTTTGCAAAACGTTTCCATTTATCGGTGGCATCCTTTGATTTAACGTAAAATCATTTTCTAACGTTCTTCCGCACGTATCTGATTTTAAATTCGTCGTCATATTTAATCCGTCCAAGTCTAAAAGTCTATCGAGAAAAAGGTGAATGTCATCAATACCTTTGTGATTATTTAAATTATCATTGGGTTGCGGTTGTTGTTGTTGTTGTTGTTGTTGTTGTTGCGTCGTTGTTTTCTTTTCTAAATATTTATTTTTAATTTCTTCCTCTTCGATTTTTTTCAATTTTTCAATTATTTGCGATTCCTTTTGCAAAAGTAATTCTTGGAGTTTTGAAATGACGTCGTTGGATGCTTCTTCGCTGTACCAAACTTTATTTCGTATGACGTTTATCAAAAGATCCCATTCGTGATCGAGTTTGTGAAGGTAATGGGATTCCAATTGCGTGAGCACAACTTTTAATTTAATCAATTGCACGGATTTATCTTCGTTTCCGGTCGTTTTATAATCCGGATAATTGTTCATCCTTTCGTAATTCCAGACTTTTTGATGTTTGGCTATGAAATCTTCGAAAAGGGATTGTAGGTAATTCAAAGCCGGGGAAAGATCTTTTTTAACAGGTTCCAGCGTTTCTTCGCTTGATTTTCTCGTTATGCAATTTTTCAAACCGGAATTTGTTTTAAAATCGACTTCGTTTTTAATCGAATATAGGGTTGTCGTGTCCGACGTCGAAAATATCGTGCTCATGGCTTTGGCAACTTGTTTCAACCTGTTTTCATTTTTTTCAATATTTTTTTTATAATTATCCAAACCGCTTTCGTCGGAACTTCCGGTGCTTCGCGACGTGGCCAAAAGTCCGAATAAATCCGACGGATCGTAACCGACGGTTTTAGTTTTGGAATTTTTTTCCGTTAAGTCGCCATCTTGGATTTGAACGGATTCGTCTTCTTTGGTCGATTTCAAAGCGATTATTTTCAATCGAACCAAATCATCGGATTTATTCAATTTTTCCTTTTTCTCATCGTCCATCGTCATGGCGTTATCGATGATGAATTTTCTCGTTAAATTTTTATTAGTCGCGTCGTCGAATAAATTTTTTTTAACCGTTTTGATTTTAGGTTTTTTTTTAATTTTTTTACTTCCGTACGACGATGAATCCTCTTTGTCCGTCACGACGTCTTTGTTGCTGTTGATGGTTTTTTCAACGGGCATCATTTCGCTGTCGTTGTCCGGGGCGGCGTGAAATTTATCGAAAATATTTTCCCCGTTCTGCAGTTTCGTCATTAAATTTCTGAAAAGTTTAATTTTTCTTTTTATATTTTTAAAATGGACGTCGTCCATTTGAATGTTGTTTTTCTTATTACTGTTATCGAATTCGTCGTCGTATTTTTGATAGAAGGGTTGTAAAATGTTGTAATGATCTTGCAACCACTTTCGACCCGCGTTCGTCGACGGACAAACTAGGAAAAGTGGTAAAAAAGTCGGGTTAACGATATTTTTCAAATTCGACATTCCCGTGTGTTTGAGTATTATGATGCACATTTTCGGACATTGCGAATTTAAAAACAATTGAAACAAATCACTTTCGGTTATGTCGGGATTTGTTTTGTAAATGCAACAATCGCAGTAATTTAATATTTCAGCCAATATCCCCAAAATCGATACGGTGTAATCCAATTGACCAATGTGATTTTTTAACGCCTGTAATTAAAGACGGAGAGAAGAAACATTATTTGGAAAATTACAAAAAAAAAGTTCTTCTTATAATTTTTACACGTCTAACCTGGAACACAATGTCGAAAACTTTTCCTTTTATGAGCATTCTTAATCCTCCCTGAACTTTTTTAATAAAAAAAGAAAAAACCGGGGATAGAAATGTTTCGATTATGTTTCCGGAATCGTTTCTTTTCCCCGGATTCATTAATACTTGTAATCGTCTTATCAAATATTTTTCTTTTTCGTGCGGTGGAAAAGCGTTCAATAGACCCGTCACGGTTTGATTTGATATATTTAATTTTTTTTGACTCGATCTCGATATGGCGTAACACAAAGCCGTACAACCTCTCTGTCGTTAAAAAAAAAAAAAAAAAAAAAAAAAACAAATTACATTTAAATAAATGAATTTTGTATGATTTGAAATCGTTAATGTTTTTATTTTAACTTGATCTTCTGCAAAAGCATCTGCATTGTGACGTAAAAGGCAAAAAACCATATTTTCGTGACCCTTCGAGGCGGCCATCATTAAACCCGTGACACCCTTTTTGTTCGAACTGTTCACGTTGACTCCGAGTTCTATGAGAATGGTGCAAAAATTTATCCAACATTTTCTAACGGCAAAATGAAAAGCTGAATTTCCCGCCTGTGAAAATATCGTTCGATTGCGGTTAAAAGAAAAACGACTATGCTATGACGTATATAAAAGAGATTTTATCATCATCATCATTATTATTACTTTATTTTTGTAATTAATATCAAAAAACTTTCCGTATGTTTTATGATATTGTATTATTGATTCTTCGTCCCAAAAATTTGATTTGATGGCGTGAATGAGAGAATTGTCGCCATTAACGTCTTCTGTTGATATTTTAACGCCTTTCGATGCGAAAAATTCAACGAGTTCTAAATTTTTAAGTTTAACCGCCCATAGAAAAGGAGTCATTCCATTCTGAAATCACAAAAATTATTTTTACTTTAGTTTCTTGTGGGTATGTTTGTAAAATTAAGGATCGGCCATTATTATTTTATGTTAATGTCAGATGAAGAGTATGTGAGAGTTGCACTCACTCGGGTTAGGGTACTTTACCTTTGAATTTCCAACGGTTTTCGGTTTTGATTTTTCATAGTGTGCGAGGGAGGGAGGGAGGGAGGGAGGTAGGGAGGGATGGGTGAAAAGGTTTATCGGGTTTAAATGAATCATTTATAATTAATATTAAATAAAATAAAATAAAAAAAAAGTAATAAATAACCGGAAACGTTTTTTTTTTTTTTTTTTTTGTGGTCTTACTTGATCGTAGCATTCCAGGGTGTATCCTTCTCGGTGAAATTTTTTAACGAGATCGATTTTTCCTAAAATTGTAGCTCCGATCAATATGGGGAGATCATTCTGTAATAGAAATAGGAAACGATCCCAATCGAAATTGTTTTAGTGTTCTCACGTGGATTTGATGGATTTTGATGGATACTTGAAAAAACCGAGTCGGAGGTCTGAAAAAAATTTTCAGTCAAAACAACTTCAGTCATTCGCTAAACAATAACAAGCGACCGTTTTTGTTTGTTTGTTTGTTTGTTTTGTTTTTTATTATTTTTTGGGTTGTTTTAATTTTTCAAAAAAAATTTTCATTTATTTTTACTTTTAAAAAAATTGTGCATTAAATGTTAAAATTTAATGCTTTCGCTTGTTTTGTTTTTTGTTTTTGGGGGATGACCGATTAATAATAATAATAATAATAATAATGGGAAAACTCACCAAATCTTTCGTTTGAATTGCATTTAATAAATCTTGGATTTCTTCTTGTTTTAAAAATGATGTTATCGTTTCGTGTGGTTCCGTCGAACAACTGCTCACTTCATCTTCTTCATTTTTTTCTTTTTCTTTACCAATGGAATTAACGTCTTGTCGACGACGAACCCCCGTTTTTATTTTAGTTTTCTTGCCCTTAGCCATACCACGAGTATTGTTTTCATCATTAGTTTTTAACAAGTTTTAAACAAAATGAAACCCTTTTTTTTTTCTTTTTTTTTTTCTTTTTTTTTTTTTAATAAGTATGTATATGTGCGTGTGTGTGTATATATCGAGTGCGTTTGTGCGCGTGTATATTAATTTATAAAAAATTAAAAATAAATTATTAAATAAAATAAAATGATAATGATAAATTTTTAAATATTAGTAAACATTGTTTACTAACTTGTTTGTCCATTTTAAAAAAAAAAAAAAAAAAAAAAAAAAAAAAAAACCTTTTCCTTAATTTGGAAAAAAAATCATTTGGGGGGTTGGAAAAACCCGATATTTTTTTTTTTTTTTTTTTTTTTTTTTAAATTTTCTTTTTTTCCAAAATTTTCATTTTTTTTTTTTTTTTTTTTCCATTTTTAAATGAAAAAAAGATTTTTAAGAACGTTCGATAGCAAGTCGATAGTACGATATTTAAAAAAATTATCATCATCATCATCATCAATTTATTTATTTATTTGTTAAACATATTTTATTATAAATAAATTATTTTTAAAAAAAATGATGATGATAATACTACTAATCAAAGTCTCATTAATTAATATAAAAACTTTGACATTTGACCTTCGCACAAGAAAATTTTCGTGCGTCATTTTAAAATTATCTTACGATTTGTAATTTTTGTTTTTTTTTTTTCGGGGGGGGGGAATTTCCGCATTTTAACCGTTTTTTAATTATAATAAAAGTGGGGAGGGAGGGAAGGAAATAGGGAAAGAATCAATAATAATAATAATAAGAAATAATATAATATCTTTAATCACAGAATTTTTTACGTACACACACATTTTTTTTTTTTTATTTTTTATTGTCTAATCTCATGAGTATAATAAATAAATATTGCCATGTATGTCAAAAAAAAAAAAAAAAAAAATTTAATAAACTTATGTAACATAAGGTCAATAACAATTTTTTATTTTTTATTTTAATAATAACGTGATTTTATAACAACCGAACGATTAAAAATTAAAATAATAAAACAATAATAAAAACAAACAAATAATTAATTAATTGATTGATTGATTTTTTCGACACATTATTATTATTTATTTATTTATTTGATTGTTCGAACGTTCGCATTTAAAAAAAAATTTAATTTAATAAATTAATAATAATAATAATAATAATAATAATAATGATTAAAATACAATAATTAATTTTTTTTTTATAACTATTACTGCATAATAAATAAATAAATAAATAAAAAGGTTTACGAAATTCGTTTAATTGTTTATTATAATTCGCGGGATTTTTTTTCGAATTTAAAATTATCGTTAGTCGTTTTATCATTATTATTATTCTTATTATTATTATTATTATTATTATTATTATTATTTAAATTCCAAATCCGTTACGCGAATCGAATTAATATTTATTTTTAATATGGAATTCATTCTAATGGAATGGTATTGATTACAAAAATTGAAAACTTACTCCTTTCGGCGCCATTTTTATTTTTATTTATTATTTATTATTAATTTTTTTTTTTTTTTATTAAAAATTTAAATTGATCGTTGTTCGGTTGCTGCGGAATTTATAACCAAGTTTTTTTTTTTCGATAAGAAATTTCTTATCTTAATTCGTATACGATTTCATTATTGTGAATGGTTGTTGTTGTTGTTGTTTGTTATGGCACAACCAATTTATTTAAAAATATATATAATAAATTCTTCGAAGGGCGGTTATGACGTCATTAATCAATCAATATATATATCCCTTTTCATTCGTAAACGGTCGTAGTAATCGTCTTCGTCGTCGTCTTCGTCGTCTGCTGTAAAAAAGGTCATTTAGTAACCGAGTCAATTTAACATGATTATTTATTTATTTATTTATTTATTGTTTCTTCTTCTTATTTATTTTTCTCCGGTTCACTTTGGTCTCGATTCCGACGAATCGTTTATTTCCAACGAAGAATCTAAATTATTATTATTATTATTATTCGGATTTTGAGGTTCTAGTATTGGGTCGTTTGGTGGAGACGATGTTAATTGTACTTCGGACCCGGTAAAACTATTATTTTGAACGGATGAAGAAGAATTTATTTGACTAGAAGGATTATTAAATAAATTTGTAAGAGAATTGACTAATGGTAAAGTTATCGGAAGAGGATTATTATTATTATTATTATTAGTAGTATTGGGGGGAGGAGGAAGAGGAGGAGGAGGAGGAAGATTATTATCCGATTTAGAATGTGGGAATAATACGTTGTAACTCGGAGGTTGATCTAATTCTTCGTATCTCGGCGGTCCCGGAGTCGAGGGTGATTCCAATTCCGTTTGTTGCGAACCACCAGAATTTATTATTAAAAGAGCCGGAGCGACAGCGTTCGACACCAGCGCTTTCGGTCTTCGGCAACAGCATTCCCAAAGGCCGCAAAACATGAGAACGGTTCCGCATATGAGCATTCCCAACATGAGATAACCCCAAGGACCGTAATGTTTTAATACGTCCGGAAGACTTTCCGATTCTCTCACGCCTAATACAATTAAAAAAAAAAAAAAACAAAAATGATGATGATGATAATAATTCGTTTTTCATTTGCTGTTGTTTTGTTTTTGACTCACTTAAATTATCTTCGTCGGGTTGTAAAATAATGGGTTTTTCTGTCGTCGAAGGCAATTCGGTTCTTTTTATCGACCCCAAATTTTCTTTTGACGTCAATTTTTTCAAAAATTCCGATGCCAAAAATTCCCAACCTCTCCCGATTTGCGAACTTTCGGCTAAACCGAATCCAATTTTATCGTAATTATCATCCGGGGAACAAAGTCTTTTATCTTCGTCTCTCCCTTCGAACGGACAATTACGCTTTCCATCGCACACCAACTCTTTCGAAATGCAATAAACTGGATAACCAATGCTTTTGCAAGAAAATTGATCTGGTTGAGAACAAATATCTCGCCCTGGAAAAACAAAAATGTAAGAAAACTAAATTTGTTTATAGAACTTCTAAATTTGTGTCTTATACATTACAAATTATTTCGCATAATGTAAAAAAACGACAACAACGATAATTCCATCTTACCTCTACCGACTGCTGCCACGACTATTTCAGATGCGAGTATATCATTTGAACTTTTTACTCCTGGAACCCATTCAAGCGTTACTTTCGGCGGAAGCAAATCCGTATAAGGTTCGACAGATTCAAATGCTTCTTCCGAACATAAATCCAAACACATTTTCACTTCTTCCGGCCTGAGAACCGGCTACAAAAAAAAATAATAATAATAATAATTAGAACGCGGGAAAGTTTTAGAATATTAGTCAACATTTACCGGAGCTTATTGTTTTGCGTTGTCGTTGTCGTTGTCGTCGTCGTAGAAAGTTACCAACGTAATAATTACATTAAATAATAGGTGATACAAACGGCAGAAAACAACAACAAACAACTCCGGATTTAAAATTTCACTTTTAATACACGCAGCCTTTAACAACAATATTTTTAACAATTTCCGGTACAGTTTTTTTTTTTTTTTATAAAAACATTGATTTTGTATTTGATTTCTCAATGAAATTATTATTATTATTATTATTATTATTACATTTAGGTGAAAGTAAAAAAATTTTTTTTTTGTTGTTGTTTGTACTTACAAACGACACGATGAGAGGACATTTTGCCCTTCCCTTATCATCGTTTTTAACAACATCAGTCTTTTTTTCTCTGGACGTTTTTCTTCTTACAAATAACAAAGATATGGAATGAGTTTCCGGTGCCACGAGTTCGACTCTACAACTCGAATGAATGTTATTCGATGCATCCAATTGTAGTGTTATCGCACCGTCAGGTGATAAACTTAATGTTCTCGTGCCACTGTGTTTGCAAATCCCATTCATAGAAACTATTTGAAAATAAGAAAAAAAAAAAAGGGGGGGCGATTAGAATTCATTTAACCATTGACTTTCGTTTTTATTTTAATTAATTTCAAACCGGAAATAGAAAAAAAAACTGATTATTATGATTCTCACTAAGTGGTCTAAGAAAAAAAAAAAAGGTCATAAATCAATTAAAACGAGTAAGGACAATGTAAATTTAAAATTATGTAATTTATGACTTACATTTCTTTTTTTTTTTTTTTTAAATCAAATTTGAATTAAAATTATTTCTAATCAGGAAAAAGAGAGAGAGAGAGAGATAGAGAAAGGAAAAGATCATCTTTTTGTTCAATTATCATCTATCAAAGGTAGATAGATTGATTTAAAAGGTTAAAAAACTTGGGAGGAGGTCATTACCATTATTCGATACATTTATTTAAATTCTCTCTCTCTCTCTCTTTCGTTTCTTAACCTTTTTTTTTGTCTTCTGGTATAGCGCGTTTTACCCCTGTGGCCATCCAAACATTATTTTTATAATAATACTAATTATTATTATTATTATTTAAATGATTCGTATTCGTTGAAAAAAAAAAAAAAATCCCCGACGGAATTCAAGAAAAAAAAGGAAAAAAAAGAAAATTTATTTTTTATTATTTGAATCGGAAACGGTTCGTCTTCTTCCGTCCGCCATGTTTTTTTTCTTTCTTTCTCTCTGTTGATAATTAAATTTTTTTTTTTTGTTGCAGATTTAAAAAGAAAAACAACAACAACTCGTCTTCTTCTCCTTTTGTTGTTAAATCAAAAGTGTTAAATAATAATAATAATGATGATGATGATTATTCGTGAGGATTCATCGTCGTGAAAATAAAAAAAGGTAAAAGTTCTTTCATTATCATTATCATAATAATAATAATAATAATTATTATTATTATTATTGTTATTATTATTATTATTTCAATATTCTTTCACTCTTTTTCTTTTGCTTTCGATTATTGTTTGTTAGTCATGAGTTATGATTTATCGATGAGTTAAACATAAACAAACGCAAACAAACGCTCACGTACATCGTAAAGACTTTTTAACGTAAAAACCTTTTTTTCCTCATCATCATCATCATCATCATCATCATCCTAATCATCATCTACGTCATCATCAACGTCATCATCGTCGGTATCTCAAACGTGTAAATTCCTAATCGTTTTTTACCTTTTGATAAAAACTTATTCCACCATTGTTTTCTCGTTAGTTTTTTTTTTTTAACCGTTTGTCACATTTTATTAATAATAATGATAATGATAATGATGATGATGATGATGATGATGATTTTATTTCCACAAATCGAATTATTTTTTTAAAATTCCACGATTTTAACATGAAAAATAAATAAATGAAAATCTCGAAAAAGAAAGTTATCGAAAAACAACAACGAACCCTACGATTATTTTTTTTGGGGGGAAAGGGAGGACGGGGAGGGGGAGGGAGGACGGGGGAGGGGAGGGACTTTTTTCCAATCGTCGTCTGACCGGTTCATGTTATTTTTTTTTCTAAACTCGTTTGAATTTTTGATTTTTTTTTCTTTCCAAATTTTTTTTTTGTTTTTGTTTTTGTTCGTGTGACGTTAATAAATTATCATAACTAATAATATATATACCTCGTGGCAATAATAATAATTAATTTTTGTTTAACTTACGACGAAGAAATAATTTTTTAGAAAAGAAAAATTCGACGATGATAATGATGATGATGTTGTTAGTAAAGTTTTAAAAAGTTTTAAAAAGTTTTTTTTCTTTCCAACAAAAAACTTTAACCTCATTATTATTATTATTATTTCTATTCGCATTCATTAAATATTGAGATTAAGTAATACGTCATAATAATAATAATAATAATAATAATAATAATAATAATATATTCACAAGTTTTTAATGATTCATTTTTGTGTAAACAAATTTCACTTTCTCACACGTTGTTTTTTTTGCGTTTGTTTCACCGTTATTTAATTTTAAACTCGATTCTTCATTTCCCCCCCTCCCCCCCCGTCATTCATTGTTTTTTCATTAAATCACGTAAAATTTTTTATCATTTAAATGTGAATAATAATAATAATAATAATAATAACAATAATAATAATATGAACGATAAGGTTTCGATAAAGATTTTTTTTGTACGTAACGTTCGTAATTTTTAAAAAAAACCGCGAACGCGTTTTTTTTCGGGAGTTTTTTTTTTTTTTTATTATCTGTGAATGAACTCGCGAATCAAATCATGACGTCATTTTTTTCGGTTATCGATTGCGTTAATTGATGACGTTTTATCAACGTTAACGACGGGACGAGAGTTTAGAACATTTGATGATAATTAATCTTTTCACTTTCTTTTTATTAACAATTTTAACACACGTGTGAAAAAAACGTATTGACACGTGTTCGCGATGGAAAATACGCCCGGAAAAAAATGACAAATGAAAAAAATTTTTTTCTTTCGAATTTTATACGACACCCATATATATCTATGTATCGCGGCCATTTTTTTTTCCAAAACGATAATTTAATTAAAAGTGGAAGTAGACGAAGTGGGTGGGGAGGGGGAGGGAGAAAAAGGCGCGAAATAGTCTTTTAAATAGTTTGAAAGTAATTAATTTCAAGACGAAATTGATAAGTTTTTTAAACGAGGACAACAACAACAAAATTTTTTTTTTTTTTTTTTGTTTTTTTTTACTGTCACGATTTAATCGCGCGTGGCGATGACGTAGTTTATCAAAAAGTAAAATTATTTAATTAGCACGACATAAAAAAATAAGAAAAACAGGGGAATTCGGTCACGTTTAATAATAATCGAAAGGTGTAAAAATAATAATAATAATAATGGAAATCAAAGTCAAGGCAACTTTTACTTTTCTTTTCTTTTCTTTAATATCGAACGCCTTGAATTTCGTACTATGATATTATTATTATTATCATCGACTAATGCAATTTCGCGCAAAATAAAAATAAAAATAAATAAAGAAAGAAAAAAAAAAGTCATTAAAAACTTGTAAAAATAATTTAAATCCACGAGAATGCAACGTGAAACCTTTAACCTTTTCTAATATTATTATTATTATTATTCTTTCGCCATTTTTATTATTAATCACATTGTAGTAACGCAAAAAAAAAAAAGATTTAAAAGTTATTAAAGAAAAAAACAAAACTAATTTTGTACGACGTGAAGAAATAAATGTTTTGCGTTACAATAACAAACCGGAAATTGATGATGATGAATCAAAACCGTTGAAAGGTGGAAATGAAAAATTTTTACGTTTTGTTAATTCACGATCGGCGTGTGTGCGTGTGCGTGTGAGTGTGCGAGTATGAGTACGTGTGAATTTTAAATTTTGATGGTCAAATTTGTTTTTTTTTTTTTTTTTCTCCAAAAAAATTGGGTCAATGTCGCCATAATGTTAAAAAAAAAAAAAAAAAAAAACGTATTTTATTTCAATAAAAGGTACAAACAAACAAACAAACAAACAACAACAACACGGGTCGAAATTCGCGTTTTTTTTTTTTTGCAAGGATTTAAATAAATAACACTAGTTTCGGTTAAAAATGGCAAATTTAAAAAGGATTTATTACGATTGCGAAAGTATTAGAAAAAAAAGAAGCCATTTTGTTTTTTTTTTCAAATTGTGGATTTTCTTGTTTTTATTTTTATTTTTATTTGCGACTTATTATTATTATTATTTTTATACGCATGGTCGACGACGGGTATGAATGAAATCGTTTATTTAAAAAAAAAAACTCGTGCGTTATTTACTTATTTATTTATTTATTATTAACTTTTTTTTAACTTTGGCTTTGAAATTATTTTTAGAACACACGAAAGGAAAAGTTTTGTTACCCGTCGGTTCCTCTTTATTTGTTCAATATGAACTTGAAATTATTTATAAAAAATATCAAAAAAAAATTGCGTCGAATTTTATTTATTTATTTTGGTGAAGAAAAAAGGAGGGAAAATTTAAAAAAAAAAAAAAAGGAAATATCATCGTGTCGTCGTCGTCGTCAGTTTTGTAGAAGATTTATTAAATCATTTTTTTTTTTAAATTTGTTTTTTTTTTTGTTTCTCGAGTCTAATTACACGTTATTTTCACGGCCGTTCCCAAAAAAAAAAAAAAAAAAAAAAAAAAAAAAGTATTTAAGGTCGAACGAAGGAAGGAACGATGGAAACTAATTGTTAAATAAATATCCCGAAAAATTTTTTTTTTTTTTTTTTTTTTTTTTAATAAGATGGAGGAAGGGAGAGATTGGGGGGGGGCAGATGAAGGGGGCAGGTAGTAATAGTGTCACGTGGGCGTTCTTATTAAAAATCGTATTATGTCCTAAGTTAACAAAACAAAATTTTTCTTTTTTTTTTTTTTTTTTTTTAAATACGAAACAATTAAATTTTATTTTTACCTTTAATTATTACATTACAAAAGATTTATATCTTTTAAACAAATGATTCATTTTTCCTCTTCTTTGTTTTTTTTTTTTTTTTAATTTTTATAAACTGTCTGTTTGTCTGTCTGTTTGTTTGTTATTATTGATCGATTTTTGTTGTTTTTGTTTGTTGTCGTTTTTAATTTTTTGTTTCTGATACGTTAATGTCGTAGTAAAACGACGATTTTATTGAATATTTTAAAATAAAATTTAAATTTATTAAATGAATTAAATACATAAATTTTATTAATTACGTAGAGAGTACTTTGACCTTTTTATTATTTTTTTAATAATACTGATTACGATTCTTATCATTTTATCTAACGTCGTTGTTGTTGTTGTTGTTGTCGTTGTTGTTTTTCGAAAAAGGGTTTTTTTAAAATAAAACGTGAATGAGAAGGACACTATCTCGATTAAATGATACTTTTATTACGTAACGTGGAGAGAGAGAGAGAGAGAGAGAGAGAGAGAGAGAGAAAATGAGAAAAATATGAATTTATCATGTGTGGTGGTTGTTATGGGGGTGGTGGTGTTAGGGGTATCGATGGTGATGATAGGGGTGGTGTTGGGTGTTTACATCCTAATAAAATCGTCGTTTTTTTTTTTTTTTTTTACGTTAAATTAAATCATTATCGACCTTTTGAATATTTTTATTAAAAAAATTTTATTTACGAAATAATGTTTTAAAAAAAGAAAAATTTGAAATGTGGTTGTTGTTGTTGTTGTTGCGAGTTTTTCTACTTTTTTAGGTTATTTTTGTTAAAAATGCCTCGAAAATTTTTTTTGTTGTTGTTGTTGTTACATATCCAAAACCGTTAGACGACGGTTACTCAAACGAAACGTAAAAGAAATTTTTTTTTTTTTTTCCTCGCGTTTGTTCGAAGTAATTGTTTCCACGATTATTATTATTATTATTATTATTATTATTATTATTATTATTATTATTATTATTATTATTTGTCTTGTTCGTGTAATTCGTCGTTTAAATTCCTTTTTAACTATTTTTTTTTTTTTTCACAAAACTTTTATTTTAACGGATTTTTTCGGCATCACAACCTTTCCTC